ACAGAAAGCCAGCACACAGGTGCAACCAGGTACTCAGGAAGGCTAATAGAATGTAAACCCTTATTTCAAGGGGGTGGAGCATAAGAGTAGGGAAGTCTGACTGTAATTGTACAAGGTGTTGGTGAGACCATATCTAGAGTACTGTGAGCAATTTTGGTCCCCTTATTTATGGAAGGAGTTTCAGGGAAGGTTCACGAGAATGATTCCTGGTGTGGGGTAATGGTCTTATGAGCAAAGTCTAAACACGTTGGGACTCTACTCACTGGAGTTTAGAAAAATAAGAAGTGATCTCATTGAAAAATACAGAATTCTTTAGAGGCTTGACAGGGTAAATGCCGAGAGGATGTTTCCCCCTATGGGAAGAGTCTAATGTCAGAATAAATGGGCTCCAATTTAAGACTGAGATGAGGGGGTATTACTTCTGTCAAAGGGTCGAAAGTCTCTGGAACCCCCTGCCACAGAGACCTGTGAGGGCAGAGTACTTGTGTATATTTAAGGCTGAGATAGGTAGATTCTTGATCAGTCAGGGAGTCACGAGTTAAGGGGAAAATGCAGGAAAGTGGATATGAGGAATGTTGGATCAGCCACAATCCTATTGAATGGCAGAGCAGGCTTGAAGGGCCAAATCCTTTTTCTTACAATGTTTTCATAGAATCCCTACAGTGCGGAGGCAGCCATTCGTCCCTTCAAGTCCACACCAACTCAGTGAGGAGCATCCCACCCAGATCCACCCCGTTCTCAAATCCGGTAACTCTGCATTTTCCATGGCTAACCTACCTAGTCTGTGCGTTCACAGACACTACGGGCAATTTAGAATGGCCAATCCACCTAACCTGCACATCTTTGGACCATGGCAGGTACTAGAGCACTCAGAGGAAACTCCACACAGACATGGGGAGAATGTTCAAACTCCACACAGACAGTCACTCGAGGGTGGAATTGAACCCCAGTCCCTGGCTCTGTGAGTCAGCAGTGCTAACCAGAGACACTACGCTGTACTTATGGATGGAGGTTCGGGACAAAGATGAAGCAAGAGCACAATAGAAAACTATTAGGAAGAGTAATTAGCTGGTATGTATATGCACTATGGCATGGTTTGACTAATCAGTTTGGTTCAAAATGTCTGTTATGTCTCCCATCAAGCCAACAGCTTGTATCGATGGCTAAATATCATCTGGGTGAGAACAACTAATTCAGTAAAGTCAAGGCATCAAATCAGCACATTCTGGTGTGTTTGGCTGGCTAACCTCCAGGTCTTTGCTGAATCTAGTCATGCATATGGTTACCATTACTAAGTAGTCTCGCTAACTGAATGTCTTATTTGTTTGCACTGTGGTCAAATGATTGCTATGACACTCAGTACCAGGGAAGGTCAGGTGTGGAACAAAAACAGAAATTGCTGGAAAATCTCAGCTGTCTGGTAGCATCTGTGGAAAGAAATTAGAAGTAACATTTCAGGTCCAGTGACCCTTCTTCAGAACTTTGAGAACAATTTCTATTTTTGTTTCAGATTTCCATCATTCGCAATTCTTTTGTTTTTTTTGTCTTCTGCTGTGAAGTGCGGGGGCACCTTCAGAGTGATCCAGTTTGATAAGTGTTTAACCACCCTAGTAATTGCTCTATCACAGCATGGCTTGTTGTCTGAGTCATGTTCTGAAGAAGGGTCACTGGACCTGAAATGTTAACTCTGCGTTCTCTCAGAAGCTGCCAGACCAGCTGATTTTCTCCAGAAGTTTCTGTTTTTGTCTCAGATCTTCAGCTTCTGCAATTCTTTGTTTTACTTTAATGTCTGAGTCATGCCATAGCCTGAGGACTACAAATTACTGCACCCATGTCTGGAAAAATTTAACTTATGCAGAATCTTTAAAGTTAGGGCAAGGTCCTACAGCACATGGCACACCACTCCCTGTAGTCTGCAGCAACCTTGACCAACTCTCTAAAAGAGGCATTAGCTGAAAATTTATTTGATGATTACTCTGAGTCATGGTGGTACAGCAGGGTGTAGGTTCTTTCTATTGCTGAGCATATGCTCAACTGTGTAAGGCTGAAGGTCAGCAACAGCCTGGAGTGCTCAGCTCTGAGCATTGATATGGCAATATGATCTGCCCACTCTGCGTATTTCCACAGGACATTCTCTGCACGTGAGCCGATGCCCTCAGCAAAATGGCGACATGCACACTTTGGATGCTATTTGTGCCTATGTGCCAAATGAAAGCCACTTTGGAAGTAAAACATATTTCCGATCCAGGTAAACTGAGTAGTACATAGCTGAAGTTTGCAGCCAGACTCCTCTTCACACACACAATTCCAGTTTGGGCTGCACAACAAACCAGACACAAATGAAAGAATGGCCAAGATGAACTTGTCATCAGTCTTTGACATAGTTGTCCACAAAATTCTACTCCAATGTCTCTCCAATATCATTCAGATGGGTGTGTTTGCACTTGCCCGGTTTCATTTGTATCTATGCTGTTGTAACCAGAGAATAATCCAAAATGACTTCTCTTCTTACTTTTGCAACATTACCTCCGGTGTTTCCCAAGGATTCATTCTTGAACCCCTCCTATCTCTCAGGAGCATGCTGCCTGTCAGTGACATCACAATGATAATGTGTTTCTAGATATACATTGACAATATCTAGCCATACCACTCCATAACCTCTCCTCCTTTATAAACACTTGATTGCTTATCTGACAGCCAGTACCCGACGAAGAGAAATTTCAACCAGTTAAATATTTGGAAATAAATGCCATTGCTTTTTATCTTGCTCAAACTCTATTCCTTTGCTGATGACTCCGTACATCTCGTTGTGAACTGTCTGAAGCTGAAGCAGATTGTTTCCCAACTTGGTATTACATTTTGGTTCCAAAACGTACTTCCCCTACCATACATCTGCACCATCTTTAAAAATGTAAATTTTCACTTTCATAACACTGCCCAATTTTGTCTCTGTCTCAAATCATCTGCTGAGGAAACTTTAATCAATGTCTTAGTTACCTCTAGACTTGACTATTGCAAGACATTCTTGGCTAGCCTCCCATCTTCCACACTCCATCAGCTTAAGCTGATCAATAATCCTTTTGCCCATGAGCTCACTGATCTCTACTCAGTCCACATTAAGCAATGCATCAATTTTAAATTTCCAAGACTTGCTTAGCCTACTGTGGCCACATTGGTTCCCTTGTAAGAGCAGCACAGCAAGTCACACCCCCTGATTTCTCTTCACAGTTCTGAATTCTTTTTTACCCTTCAGTTAATCATAATTTCTCTTTTGAAAATTTTGAATCTGCTATCATCACACTGTGAGGGAGTGAATTCCAGATCCTAAACAATGGTTGCTTAAAAATAAAGGTTTCATGTTGGCCCCTGGTTCTTTTGCCAATCATGTTAGATTAATGTGCACATGCACACTCCCCATTTTAATCATTCTACCACTGTTAGGCTGTTTCTTTAGCTGCACAGGCACCAAGATCTGTAACTCTCTCCTTGGGCCTGTGTTCAACAGTAACATTCCCACCTTTGTAGTTGGAAGATCATGAACTGGAGTCCATTCCACATTGTGCTAGACAGCTGAAACAGAAGTTCTCTATTCTAACTACTGACTGACATACTGTAAAATTCTCACGCCACTTGGAAACAGAGTGTCTCCCTTGCTGGCCTGTCATCTTAATCCTGATGAGCATGTGTCCCAAGTTCAGAACTCCAGCCTTTGAATACTGAATTGGTATTAACTAGGATGCTCACATACAATGAGAATGCAATTGTGTCCTCACCCTATGTATTCAGTTCATTGTCCTGGTAAGGAGCCATGAGGCAGATCAAAAACCTTCCCACACAAAATAGACTTAGTGACAAATGTAATACAAAGGCTGATCTGCTGGATATAAAACCAGGGAAGAAAGCGGTTCCTTGTGCACGTAAGGAAGAAGAATCCAGGAGCATAGAATGCGAATTTTGTTTGTCTGTAACTTTACACTTTTTTTTCCAATTAAAAACAGTGGAAAGATTTTACAAGTTAACTGCCAATCTAACTTCATTCCTCCTATTAATCTAACCATCTATTTAGCAACTATAGCCATACTGGTTGGTTTAATATGGTGGGATAATTGCATTGGCTCTCACAACCTATACATTGATAATTGGGGACATCTATCATTAGATATGAATATGCCTCTGTATATGAATGCAGAATTTAGAGCCAGAGGTCTATTCTCTATTTGCTGAGACTGTTAGGAGCAACAACTGAATCCTGCAGCCTCTATCTCTGGCAGTAATGCTACTATCAAGTCATGATGTGGAGATGCTGGTGTTGCAATGTTATGGACAAAGTCAGAAGTCAGATACACCAGATTATAGTCCAACAGGTTTATTTGAAATTGCAAGCTTTCAGAGCACTGCCCCTTGCAATGCTCGGAAGCTTGTGATTTCAAATAAACCTGCTGGACTATAACCTGGTGTCGTCTGACTCCCATCAAGCCAACAGCTTGTATCGATGGCTAAATATCATCTGGGTGAGAACAACTAATTCAGTAAAGTCAAGGCATCAAATCAGCACATTCTGGTGTGTTTGGCTGGCTAATCTCCAGGTCTTTGCTGAATCTAGTCATGCATATGGTTACCATTACTAAGTAGTCTCGCTAACTGAATAATGAACAACCAGATCTGTGCTGCCAGTGAGCAAAAGGACCACACTACTCTAAATGCATCACACCATTGAGTCAGTGAATCTGTTGTTATCTTCCCATTGAAGACTGATTTATTTTTGGTTAATCAGTGGTGGAAAACCACTGCCTAAAAGAATGTTCATACTAAGCCACTGCAAAATTCACACAAGTAGAGAGGTTTGGTTTCGTTCTGAGGAAGGGTCACCGAACCCGAAACGTTAACTCTGTTTTTTCCTCCACAGATACTGCCAGACTTGCTGAGCTTTTCCAGCAACTTTGTTTTTGTTCCTGAGAGGTTTGCTTTACTTGATATGGAATGCCCATTTCGTTGGTACAGTGACTCACTTCACTCACCTCAGTTCAGAAATGCAAGCCCAGTTGTCTAGAGCCAAGGTCTCGAGGCTACTGCTGTAATTCGATCAGATGAGCCCTACACATAAAGGTATGGTTTACTGCTTAAATGCTTTTGTGCGCAGTGAAACTGATAAATTAATCCCCGAGTGCTCCGCATTACTGTGATCCTGATAATTGTTTCTGAGTGCTACGTGTGAGATGCGCTGGGAATGTCAGTTCCCCCCACACATGGCTGATAATACTACTCGGAACTAACATAATATTTAAAGATTAATTAAAACCATTAATCCCAAACACATCAAGTAAAATGATTTTTCTTCTGCGGGATTATCCTGTATAAATAAGGAAATAAAGTTAATCGGGGGATCCTTTTGACCTGCCTCAAATCTCCACGGTACAAAAGTTTTTTTTAACACTTTCCTTATTCCCCACATAATACACATAGGAAGATGAATCATTCTGGATCATGGTGTGCACATGATCTCATTCCACCGCAACCGATTCTTCTGTTGTAACAGTTGGTGCAAAATAAGATAACATCTGCAGGACGTTTAAAATTTACTTGTATCCGTGCATCTAAAAATCAAACAAACACACGCTGGCAAGGATTCAGTTTGTTATAAATTACAAATTGGTCGATACTAAGCAAGAAGGCGCAAAATGGATATTGAATTAAAGCCGGACATACCTGACTGTGCACCAAAGCAAATTCAGGATCAACTTGCAACTGTCCTTCTCAGAGCCTTAGGCAAGCGCTTCACGAAATCATTCCACTGCAGGCTCCACATTCCACTCCTCTTCAACGCATTTCATTCAATAAATCCTGCTCTTTCAAAAAGCGTTAAATGCTGCAGCCTGCCCGCTCTGTTCCGTTCCGAGGTGACCACCCGCTGATTTTGTTGAATTCTCAGCGCTCCAGTCCGGGCGAGCAGCTCAGAGCCGGCCCCTGCTGTTCAGGTGACCCAGCCCCCCTCTCCGCTCGCTAGCGCGGATGACAAAACAAAATCGAAAAGTCCTTTGTGAAAGCAAAGTGGGAATGTCAGGCGGATAGTTTCAGGGTGAGTAACCTGTTTCTAACTCCTGACGCAGCCGCTGATAAACTCCGGGCGGTTTCAACTCCGCCTCCATGAGTGTGAATTACAACAAGGTGTACGGCTCTGCACCATGTCCTCCCCAGATTACACACACACTCTCTCAGATCACACACCGACTCTTAATGGGCTGAGCATCCGAATGTCGGGTGAACCAAATTGTATCACCAGATCAGAGGTCTGCCGCCAGATTTCATCGGATCAGATCCACCATGTACAGGATTACCGTACAATATCTTCGTGTGCAGGATTAGATATGCTGTATCCAGCCTAATGTTTCACAATTAGATTCAATGGTCTACATGTGGCTCAGTGGTTAGCACTGCCGTCTCACAGTGCCAGTCAGTGTGGATTTCATTCCAGCCTTGGGTGACTGTATGAAATTTGCATGTTCATCTTGTGCAGTTTAGGTGGATTGCCCAAGGTAAATTTGAGGTTACACGCGTGGGTAGGTTTGGGTGGGATGTTCCTGGAGGGTGGGTGCAGATTCAGTGGGCCGAATGGCCTCTATGTGTGCTGTAGGGCTTCTATGATTCTAACCTGACTCCTGAATCAAATTCCCACAATACAATCTGATCATCAGGTCTGTGGTATACAGCCTGACCTTAATGAGGCTACGTTCAGCTTGATATCTCTTGGAAAGAACACCATAGCACATGTTCTCCATTACTATTGCAGACATGATAGAACCTCTGTCAGCAATGCCTAGGCCCAGAACCGTGCTGCATAGTGTATTAATCTGGCAGTTTATGAACATTCAATATACTTCAAATGACCTGGAGAAAGCAGAAAGTCATTTTGAGGGGGTTAACATTGAGCGAGTATAAAAATCTGCTAAAGAGATCACCTGCACAAGGTGAAACCATGCAGTTGGGTGGGATTTAGCAGATGTGCCATTCTACAATTGTTACTCTGTGTGATAATAGATGAAAGTGCTGACCATGCAACTGGTTTCAGTTACCGGGTTAGTACACTTGTAGAATGGCAAGCTGCCTGATGCAGCAAATGACATTTGGGAATGAGATGATGGCAAACAACTGAGGCAGTACTGATTTTCATAACCACCCACAATGCCCAATATACCTCCTTTTGTGTAACATCATAGGATTTTCCCTGTTGCACAGCAACCTGGAAAAGGAATTCCCCCTCATCACTTTCAGGTTGGTGTGTTTGAGTTTGCAAGGTTTGTTGGTGGCAAAATAGTACGCACAGACTAACTGGTTATGCTGCTCTAGTCTTCTGACATGGCTTTTGATTTTCTTTGTACTTGTAAAATTCTCTGATAAGACCACAATATCAATTCCCATTTCTCATCAATAAATTACTACTCTTCAGAAAAATATCTTAAGGAACTCCTTCTTGACGAGATAATAATGTGGCTGGTTCTCAAATAAATTTAAAAAGGCACGGACCTATATGGGATCTTTCCATAAGTGTAAGAAATTGAGAGCTGCTACCGAATAACATAATCTCTGTGCTATTTCAATATTTTGATTAGGTTTTTGCACATATGCCTGATCAAACAACTTCAGTGGTAAGTTAGGCATGCAGTTTTATGCAGAGGATAAACCAAGCAGGGAGCAGGTTTGCACATCCTATATCCACAGAACCAGTTCAAATGAGTGGAATTACTATGCTTATTTGTCATGTCGTATTTTGGTAATTAATTTTGATGTAAAACTATCATTGTGACCCAGACATTTTGCTGTGAGTCACTTCATCATTTCAGGCTGCTGAATTTATGCAAATAAAAAATCACTAACTTATGAAAAATCTTGATGACATTGCATTAGGAACAAATATCTCAAATGGAATTCTACTATCCAGACTGACAAACAGCATAATAAGAACAGCAATATATTCGTATTAGAACTTCAGCTATTCCAAATAAGCCACACAATCATTCAAGGCATTGTGGTGTATGCTAATAGCTAGCCCTCTCAAAACAAAAGTCATGTTTCAAGCAGAATAGTTGCAGTTAGTTAGCATTTATCAGCTAATGGCTACCCTGAACGTCCCAGTGTGCTCTGTAATGTGTACGGTAATTGGATTGATTATGATATTTGGCCATTTAACCTACCCACATTCCTCTATTCCAACATAAAATAAATGGTGAAATTGTCATTGTTGCTATATTTGTACACAATATTGTGATCAGTCACTGGCAAAATCCATTAGCGGCTGCAATACATATGAAATCCCATTGCAATATATGCTGTGTACTAATTATCCACTAGTTATTAGAATATACCTCTGTCTTACCTAATTTATGAGTTACCTCACTGGGAGTTGGCACATCAAAATATTATTGCATATTAAAATATTTCCACATGAAAACCACCAAGTAAAACCGTTAGCAATGAAAGTGTCTGGGTGGGATGCTCTTTGGAGGGTCGGCATGCACTTGATGGGCTGAATAGCCTGCTTCCACACTGTAAGGATTCTATGATTCTATGATTCATACAAAAGGAATAGTAGGAACTATAGTTGAATTACCTCTGTAGTCCTAATTGTGGTATCAGTCTCTGAACATGTTCAAGCCACATAACAGTTGGGTTGAATTGTTTTGAAAATATTTCTTTATTTCTACTCTTCTTTTTCCCAAACCACAGTACTTATATTCAGTATTTACAAGCAGCATCCTCCCATTGCCAAATTTTTCCAGTGATTACCTGCTCAAACGAGATGGATTTTCCAATGCAAGGGGTAAGTTATTGTTCAGGCAACACACTACCAGCTTTCCGTTCTTCCCTGCTATATTGAGATTTTTCTCCCCATAAGTGATGGTGAATGTTAAATATATCTTACCAACTAGGTATATTCCAGGGACATTAAGTGTCATGAAATGCACAGTTTAATGTACTTTCTCTCTTATTTACATTGAATACAAGGAAAGCTAATGCATTCTTAGATGTAGTAAGAAATGCCAATGCTGGAGTCAGAGATAACACAGTGTGGAGCTGCAGGAGCACAGCAGGCCAGGCAGCACTCCTCCTCTGATGCATTCTTGTTGATCAGTGAAATTGTGATTAGTAAATGCAGAGCAATTTAAATATAAAAGACCACTTAGTGCAGCTAAAAGGGGTAGATTGCTTTCCAGGGCCAAACAAATAAAACTCAACCTTCTGTTGACCTAGGATTTTCCCATCTCTTCAGTGATGTGACATGCAGCCCTTGCTGGAAATCACCTTGTTTCAGTTGCCCCTGCAGGTGTCCTCTGCACCGCTCAATCCATCTTCTTCACCTGTTGACCAAAATGTTGAATGCCGGATTTGTGGCATTCAAAGTCTCCAGGAGTGATACTAACCTGACCTGCAAAGGGAGAAACTGAGTTAAGAGACAGTTAACTTTATGCAGTCACTCACTGCAGTCCACATAGATCTCATAGGATGTGGGTGTTGCTGGCTAGCCAACATTTATTTCCTGTCTGGATTCCCATCCAGCAGTTAAAGATGAGTTGAAAGATCCAGATTTCATGGTGTAAAATTTGGAGTAGGGATGAATGGGAATTGTTTTAGCAGCAACAATGACCTAGTCCCCCCACTTGCCCAAATCTTATTCTAGATTCAAATTGCTGCTGTCCATGCAGGATTCCAAATACATCTGCCAACTTTCCAATACTTGTTAGCATTGGGCCTAATGCTTTCCGGTATGGTAATTAGGTACCTGCAATTCTTGTACATCTTCTGTTTAAGGCATTCATCCATCACATTTTCATCAGAGCAGTGAAATTTTTTTTACCACTGAATGGAAAACTATTTGGTACTTAAGTAATAGAAAGGGAACTGAAGCTGTGATTATGTTGCTTTGGACATCAGTTTGTATCAACAGAGGAACTATTGCACACATTTTTAAATAATCCTTAAAATCAATCCTCTAATCTTAAACTGCACTAGGGTAAGTAGCAAGATGAATGTGTTAGGGGGCACAAGGGTATAAATATGGCAAAATTCAATTTGCTGCAGTTTCAATTCCCTCAGTGTAATATTAAGCTCAGCCATGCTATTATTGTGGGAAAGCTGTTGGAAAATTTGTTGTTTTCTGCTGTTATACAATTTGTAGAAATTGAAGAGTGGCATTGATAAAGATATGCCTGTATCAGTACTCCAAATGTCACATTAGCTTAATATTTATTGCACTCTATTGGAATAATTTTCACCTTATTGCCTGGGTGATAAGTTGGCAGAGTGGTTCACCTGCTCATTGTATAAACTATCCAGTATTTATCCCATTGAAATCAGAATGGTTCAATGTTCTACTATCTAATCCATTGTGTTGCCACACAGGTAGTGAAGTTGAAAATTCTTTGGTCTCATACTACTATCTTGCAACATAGCAATCACAAGTTTAGAGTCTAGGTTTCTCTCTTTCTCTTTGTGTATTTTAAAATAATTCTCAAATTAAAACAGAAAAAGCTAGTAGTTTATAAGCCTATGTAAAAAAGAGATAACACAGGTTACTGTTTTTTATAGAAACCTTTTATTAGATTCTTGTTCTTATCACCAAACAGCTTTCCCAATACCAGCTCTGTCCTAAAATAGCAATCAGAGTTCCATTTTTATTGGGGTACCTGAATTTCTGCAACAAGAGGAGCCTAATTTGCTTTTAGAAGCTCAATGCTTTAGACACCCAATGGCCAATGCTGAGCCTTGCAAATGGCTAAGGTGATAAAGATACTGATACCATTTTGCAGACTGTTACTATTCTGTTAATGCCAAGTGGAGGCAATGAAAATCAAATCCACTGTACAGTATTTAATCAGGAAGAAGTAGTGGAGTGGAAGGTTTACCTCGTTTCCTAATTCGATTACTTCCTTATCAAAAATTTCCAATACACTATTTATTTGCTGGGGAGTTGGAATTACTTGAAACCATAATGTCGGAGCAACTCTGAATTTAAAGGGAACTGTTTGGGAAATTTTCATCTGCTTACAACTCTGTTCACACTGTTAAACAGGAAAATTTAGGTAAGAAAAATAAATAGATAAACAGCATGAGATCCACCTCTCAATTTTCAAACAAGCCTCAAAATGTTAGGCCAATGTTTCCCCCACCTTAACAAAGCTAAAGAAGCACATATGCAAATTTATTGAAAACTTATCATGAAATTGAACTAAAAATTTTAGGTGTAGCAGGATAAGTTATTTTTCAGGAATCTGTTATCCATTTGGCTTTTTTAATTACAATTCTCACACAGATCTGCTTGGATTCCTGTGTACTTAAACAAATTTTATGACTTTAGACTTTTAAAGTCACATTTTTCTCTAGTGTGAGTTCAGAGTTAGCCATAATTATTTATGCTAATTTTGACCTGTTTACATCCATTTTAAATTTTGGTGTATGCTAAAATGGTTGGAGGAAAATTGGAAGCCAATGGTAAGAAAGAGGGTGTAACAGCGCTTCCAATTCACTATCGAACTGGTTTCTGTTACAGGTGTCAGCTGGTTTTACCCCACAGACTTAACATTCCTCCTGTTAATGTCAATTGTGCGACTTACATTAAAACTCAAATTTAAATCACAACCTAATGTGAGAACCCTGCCTCTTTACATCTGTTACTCTCAGATCACCTCAGGAGACCAGAGGAAATTTTGAAATGTAAAACTCACACAGTGCGTTTTCTGGTTGCAGGACTGTATATGAAGAGAAAAGCAAAGAATCATGAAGCTTGTCCCTCAAGAGTTGACTCAATCCCTCTTTTATTTCCAAGAACAAAAGGAGGTAAAACAACATTTACTCACATACACACATACAGATGCCACTTATATTAGTGTTCAAAGACATTTGACTGATCTCTTAGTCAGTCCCCATTGAGCTGAGATGTCAAACTGACGATTAGCCAGATTAAATAGGCCAATATCTTAGCCGATAAATATCGGGAAATGCTTTGTGGGATAGACTGATGTTAATGTCTTTGCAATTAACAAGTTAATAGTAGGTTAGGAGTACCACTTTTACCGTTGCAGAAAACTGCAGATGGTCCTTGGTTTCTGCACTGATGTGAACAAGGCACACTGGGTCATTTTTAAATGGTATATTTAGACTCCATTGGATGAACTCAGAGCGGACCACTCATGCATTTGCTTTGATTTTGGTGAGGGCATTCAGACTGGCGCCTCCAAAACCCAAGAGACTTGTTAATGTGATGATGTTATGATGTCACCCCACTTGTACACAGAAAAACACTTTGGGTAATTATGCAGCAATGCAACGTACCTCTTGCATTATTACCTATAGGAGGGACATCAGTTCAGGGAATGAAATGAGGAACTCAAAATGTTTATTCCACCTAGATTTGTTCCTGAGATCCAAACTTAGAGATGTTCACTGACACTGTGATCTGAGAATTGCAATTCAAAATCATCAAGCACTGGGGTCTTGAGATGCAATTGATTTGCCATTGACCCAATCCACACATCAAATTTAGCAATGTTAACCCTGTGCATACCATAACAAGAAAGAGTTAAAACAATAACATAATGCGCAGTGGAGAAAAGAATTTTTATCACAGTAAGTATGAAGACTTTATTGCTGTGATATTTTGGCTTCTCATGAGATTCTGCTAAGCTTTTCATTTTTTTTTCCTTTTGTCTTGGACAGTCAAAAAAGAATCATCATCAGGACAATAATTGTGCAGCAAAAGTTGCCAGTTGAAACGTTCTCCCTTCAGCAAAGCACTATTGTCATACTAATTTACAATCACTGCCAGATACCTTTGGGCTAAGGGTGCATTTTCCTCTTGGGATTAGCAGCCAGAAGGTCAAAGTGGCTCAAATCATGCTAACATGTTTGTGAAGTGGAGAGTGGTGTGTGGGGAGGAGTGTAGTATATTTAAAATTAAAAGTTTACTCATCTATTTTCAGTCTACCTTTTGCCAATAGCTATCTGGGTAAAAACCATTGAACCAGGCACCCTTGGATTCCCATGTTCTCTGAGATGGCAAGCTGAGTAAAAGAAATTTAAGGTATGTAGCTGCTTGGAACTACACTGCCACTTCATTAAACTATTACTTTTAGTCCTGTATTTACTGCAGGCACTAGAGGAAATGTATTTCTTTTTAAGGAAATAATTGAATATGATGTCCAGTAGTGGGGTTGAGAATTGGCGACTGAAGAATCCTGAGTGAAGCAAGCTCGATGCCTGCAATTCTCCTCAGGAGCTGATTTTATATAAAGGCTCTTCAACAGCCCATGCGAAACTCACATGGGAAACTTTGGCAAAAAATGTTTTGAACAGTCAAGTTAATTACTTCTGCTACATGACTCTCGTCCATTTACTTCATTAGCTCCTTAAAGAATTATATGTTTTTCACTAGGGATGCTTAGTTAACGGGCCTTTAATTACCAGATTTATGTCCATTCAACATTTGTCATTCTCCAATCACCAGCTACTTCTACAGCATTATGGAGCTCAGAAAAGTATCACCTAAACTGTAATTAATTCCTTCACGTTCTTAGGATTGATCCCACCTGCACCATGAGTTCAATGGATATTTTGACTGGAACTTTTCATAAACCTTCTTGGATACTGTCAGAAGTCACACCACACCAGGTCATAGTCCAACAGGGTTTATTTGAAATCACAGGCTTTCACTGTGTAGCCCCCTCGTTAGGACCTGACGAAAGGGCTACGCTCCAAAAGCTTGTGATTTCAAATAAACCTGTTGGACTATAACCTGATGTCGTGTGACTTCTGCCTTTGTCCACTCCAGTCCAACGCTGGCACTTCCACATCACTTGTTGGATACTGGCATAACATTACCTGCAATTGTTTGCCTAGTGATGTCAGTGTAGAGCAAAGCATCACATTTTTCCATAAGTCATCTGCTGTATGACAGGTCTGACAGTTACATACAACATCAGAAAGCTTCACCTGCACTCTATTCCAATCTTCCAATAATATGATCTTTAATATAACTTTAATTATGCTGCAATAGTTGATAGGTGGGGTGGTGCTAAAAAGAACTGGAAGTCTGCAGCTCTTAGGAAGGAGGAAAGATTAAGAGATTAAAAGATTTTGAATTTGAAAATTTAGCTAAAATGTAAGGCAAAGCTTGCAGACTAATCTTTTCTCCCACTAAAAAAAAACTTGTCTTAGAAGAAGGAGTAGAAAACAATGTGTAATTCCACACCAAAGAAAGTGGGAAGCTTTTTGATTGAATAATTCAGCCACTGTCCCAATGAGTCACAAACCTCAAGCAGCCTACTCGTAACGTTGTCTTCCTAGCTGTCCGAGTTTCTTCCCTTTTTCTTAATAGGCATGTGGATTAGATTAAAAAAACTCTTAAGTGTTATTGAGAATTGAGCAAATCATCAGGAGTTGGAAAGTACAATAGAAGAACTGTATCGGGATCATGTGACATCAAGTCATAGTCATAACTCCAAGTTGTTAATTGCTTGGGTTTAATGAATAACTGAAGTGGAATTTGTTGTGAAGGCATGTGATTTAAAATACCAAAAAGATTCCAAAATTTTAATGGCTGAATACCTTCTCAAGGCAGACTTTGGATTAATAGTCCACGCCTTAGCATTAGTAGTCTAGTAATGTAGGTTCAGTCAGGCTGTAGCACTGGATTTACAACAGAATGTTAATATTGGTGCAAGCTGATGCTATAGTTACAAACACACTGTATGGTGACTTGTATCAGACAGATAGGATAGCTCAATATCATTTAATGTCTTTGGGATTAGTTAAAACAAAATGTAGTCTCACACCGTTTTGATATACCACATGAAACTGTAACTCCAGTGTAGTGTCAGATCATATATGAAATGTGGTCAAAATGATTCCTTGCGCCACCTTTTAAAGCTACCTAAAATTAATTTAAATGCTAATCAATCTGGCCGCTGTCACTCAGGATGTATAACTATTTAAAATTGAATTACTGGGAGAGATAATCTGCATTTGAAAGAATGTGGCGTCACATCCAGGAGGATGCAACCTTGATGTACCCTAGAATACATCGATTGTTTGAACTGAATACATTATGAACTAGTTAATCTATGGCTGATAGCAGTAAAAGTCATCGTGGATGTTGTAAAGAAAAATTCAGGAACTAGTAAAGTTTAACAGAAATTAAGAGAAGATTTATAATCATATCATACTTTTCTTAACCTCAGGATATCTCAAAGTAATTCACGATCATTGAAGTACTTTACTTTGTAGCCACTGTTGTAATGTTGGGAAAATAGAATAGGAAGCTAAAAGTTTATAAAATACAACATGAATTTATAAGAGCGTGGTCACCTTCCAAAAAAAAAGTCCATGAGAGATGAAAGAGAAATAACTATACGTAGTATATACACAATACTTTTCAGTATTTGTATAGTTCTTCTATTTCACAGCAAATTAATTATTTTTGAAGTGCAATTGCTATTATGTAGGCAATGATATCCAATGAATTACAAAAAGAATTTCGGCTTAGGCCAGGGATATTATGGTACATTTTCTTTCTGAGTCAAGGAACCAAATAATGGCTGCATAGTTCATGTGTGAAATAGTCATACAATGGAACCCATCAGCCATAGAGACATCAAACACTGCCTGGTACATTTTTTAATCAAATTTTCTTCACATATTGGATAGTAATTTAAACCCTGCTAAAAATACACGTAACAGAAGTAATTATTAAGCCAGAAAAAGCATCTTTGCTTTTCCCCTGGCTATGCTGTGGTTGACCTCCAACTGGGATGCAATCTTTTTGTATTCATCAAAAGAATTCTGTGCTGAGTCAAATGTATGCTTGATGCCAGAGCTTCAGCCTGAAACAATTCCACAAGTTGAACCTTATACTCGTGTCCTTTCTTCTTTCTTCTCTTTTTCAGACAAGTTAATGAAGTCTGAATTCTGAAATAAAAAAACCCTTTAGGCAATTTGGATTACGTCAAAGAGTCCCTCATTTCAGACAACCTGTCAAAGTTACCATGTACTCTTTGGTCTCAGGGTCCCAATATTCTGATTTGTTCCTCTCAACTCCATATTAACATTGGGCCATTGTGCTTGGAAAGACAATTATTGAGCTCACTAAAGTGCTTGAAACTATGTACATGTACTGTGGGCATTAATTGTTGATATTATTTAATCAGAATAACTGGCAAAAAATAGAACTTGTTTATTTTAAAAGTCAGCCAATATAATCAATGCTAGGAAAAGAAGAGAAATCCTAATGATGTATAATTCAGCTCAGTGGCACTATGAAGGCCAGGTACCATTTTGATGGTATCCTGCACTGTTTGCTGCTTTCTGTGTGGCATGTACAACATGCTCTGTTGAGAAGGGCACTCACATAGGCATCTTTAATGGCATTGTAAACCTGTGAAAGGGCACTATTTTGATGATGCACAGCCCAACTGGCTGATGTAATGCCAAGACAGATAATTTTGACGACACAGGCTCAGATAGCTTTGCAAACAACAAGCCATGAGTTGCACAAGATACCCTGCATGAGTGTATTTTTAAGATCCAGGGCACCCTAACTCCACATAAGCTAATTTTGAATAACATCAGCTGTTGCAAAGTGCCTGAAAATAGCCTGGAGTGTTTTTGGAAGTGCAGAGGTGAGTTCCTAGATATCATAACAAATTGGGTGGCACAGTGATCACAGCACCAGGGATCCAGGTTCAATTCCACCCATACTGTATGGGATTCCATGGTAAAAAATATGCTATAAAACCTGAAATAAGCATTTGGCCCTTTCAGAATGTTCCTGTATTCAGCAAGATCATGGCTCACCTTTGACCTAAAGTCCACCTTCCTGCAATATTCCCATATCTCTTAATTTCTCCAATACCCAATAGTCTTATTGATAAGAACACAAAAAAAGGCACAATTCTGCAGAGATAACAAGGTGTAGAGCTGGATGAACACAGCAGGCCAAGCAGCATCAGAGGAGCAGGAAGGCTGACGTTTCGGGCCTAGACCCTTCTTCAGAAGGGTCAGTTCCTACTATCTCTAAAACAATTTTGCAGAAATTGTTGCTGCATCCTCAACAAATGGGAAGATGATGAGGTTACCTGTTCACATTGTGGTTATACAGATGGTAGGCACAGATGGCAGTGCTTCTAACCTAACAAAACAACTGGGAAATGGAGCATAGGCTGTACAGCACATGGGCTTGGAGAAACCAATCTCTGCTAAGTAGGATCCAAACCCTTCTGTGCTCCCTAATAGTAACAGGAGTGTGGACCTATTTTAGTGTGTGCCTACCCATCAGCTTTCTCTTCTATGCTGTCTCATCAAGGTCCTTATCTCAATTATCTTCAGCAGAACCTGCTTATGACCTTACCTTCCAGAGACTTGGCAATGAAGCATCCTTGCTGTATTAAATGGTTGCAACACATTGGTGCTTAGATGACTCACCATGCTGCTCCCAACTATAAATTAGCTTTTAGCTAATATCTGAGCTGGTGTTTGTGAGTGTCTGGTCAATTAACAAGTGCCTCTACATCAGTGTTCTGCTATGCTGTCTCTCTTCTCCTGTCAGTTGCTGTGACTGGATAGGCAACAGTTCTCATATATCTAAAAGAATGAACTCAGAGGATGAAGGATGGTATCAGGGAAATGGCTGACATGAGAGGCTCATGTCTATTAGCATAACATCAGCCTGTTGTTCATTATGAATATTGAGAATTGGCATAAGGCAGGAATCTACCATTATTCCAAATATTCTTAGTGATGCCAGATGTCACAGCCTGTTGATCCCACAATGCTGAGAGACGTATTTTCTGTAGGACTCAACAGATGTAAGTGTCCTTATCCAATCCTGCCTGTGCTCTGTTCCTTTCTATTTCGGATCCAAAACATTAACTCTGATTTCTTTTTCATCACGCCTGCTGCCAGACCCGCTGAGCTTTTCCAGCAACTTCTGTTTTTGCTACAGCATCTGCAGTTCTTTGCGTTTTCATCTCTTCTCATGCCTGTCATCACCTCCAACACCTCCGACACCATGCTTATCCCCCTG